TAGCCCAGGCTGGCCTTGAACTTCCAAGGATCCTCCTGCCTCAGAAGTGCTGCCTCCCAAGTGCTAGGACTACAGGCAAGCACTACCACACCTGGCTGTCACTAGACATTCTTTTAATTTGAGCCTTCTGATAACATTTTTTTCATTTTATATTTTAATTGTTTATCAGTGCAGACAGTATTTCCTCAACTTCTGATTTAGAAACACTTGCAGTTTTTTGATGAAAATTTGCTAGATACTGTTTTTTAAATTCAATTAATTGTGCCTAGGAAATAGAATTTTATTATACTTTCATAGTAATCATTTCTTTAATTTGTATGAAAATACTGGTTTATTTTTATGATTCTATTTTTAAATTTTTTTCTTTGGTTTCTAGAAGAAAACAAACCTAATACGTGCTATACTGTGAACAAGCAACTTAGGGTAGATAAATGTCAAAAGTATCAACTAGATTATTTTTATTTATATGTTAGAATGGAAAGAGGAACTGGTCAGTGAAATCAAAAATTAAATGTCCTGTTTTATTCTTTAGGTCCTTATCTTGCCTCCCAGCCGTTGGACAGCTCTCTGCTTTCACAGCCAAATTCAGTTACCCCTGCAAGTCAGTCTTTGATTACTCCACCTCAGATGACAAATACTGGAAGTGCTAATACACCATCTGCTACATTAGCCTCTACAGCAAGCAGCACCATGACAGTGACTTCAGGTGTTGCCATATCTTCTTCAGTTGCCACAGCTAATTCAACTTTGACGACAAGTTCATCTTCATCATCTTCCAACTTGAATAGTGGAGTATCATCAAACAAACTACCTTCATTTCCCCCCTTTGGCAGTATGAACAGCAGTGGTTCAGGATCCATGTCTACACAAGCAAGTACAGTTCAGAGTGGCCAGCTAGGTGGGCAACAATCATCAGCTCTGCAGACGGCTGGGATTTCTGGAGAGTCATCTTCACTTCCCACTCAACCGCATCCTGATGTGTCTGAAAGGTACTTTGAAAATTCCTGATATTTGGGGCTGGGGGATAGTTTTGTCATAGAACATGTGCATATCATCCCTGAAGCCTTGGATTCAATCCCTACACCAAAACAGTAAATAAGAAGATAGTCACTGTGAAAGAAAGAACATTATTATAGTTTAGTGCTTTTTTTTGTTATTCTTGACATTTTAACTTTTATAATGTTAGAACTCTTTAAATATCTTTAACATACAGGCTTAGAATCCTTAGGGTAAGATTTAAGATCTTTTCTTTCTCGTTTTTTGATACGGAGTCTTGCTGTGTAGTTCGGGCTGGCCTCAAACTTGAGGTAATCCTCGTGCATCAGCCTTCTGAGTGCTGGGATTACAGGTGTGTACAGTTTAGGGTGTTAAGATTTTAAAACCTTGTAATCCAGGTATCCATATGATGTTTGTGTCCTGTGACATAACTGTCAAGTAGATTTGCCTATGCAAATTATTTCAGTAATTGAGAAAATGATACTCACCTACCCTATTGAAAGGTTTTAAAGTCAACAAGGTTTGAATTTTAGCTCGGCCATTTAATGATTTTGCAATTATTTATAATAACAATGGTGATGACAGTTTTTGTTCCTTTTGTGCTGAAGGTATTGGAGAGTTTTCCTTTTGACTTATGGATTAGGTTTAGTCCAAGGGTAGGTATATTTGTCAGCTCCCCAGGATGCTGATGTGCTCAGTGTTATAAGCGTGTGTGTGTATGTTGTGGGCAACTGTTACACAGATTGATCTATACATACTGACTAAACACGTGTCCTTTAAAAATAAATCGCCCATTGAAAAATGAAGCAGCTTATTCTCCATTTACATTATGAAGTATGAAATGAATTTGTATAGTCTAAAAATGACTGAAACCATTGAGTAGGTTTAGGAACCGAGTTTCCTTCTGCTCTACCTTTGTTTCTAGCCAACTATTAAGATAGCTCTCAGGCAGAGATGCATCTTTACTTCAGTTTTATCCCTCGTGTGCTAAGCTCTCTTTCAATTTTGATACTCTGGTTTTTTAGGAAGTCTTCTTATTTGTTTGTGTAGTTAGTCATTTAATTATTTTAGTGCAAAGGACATTGTACACTGTGAAATGAATGGTATGTGCAGTGTTTATGGTTCTGTGGAAAGAAAGAGATGTCCTTTACTGTCAGAGAGGATGTTCAACACCTCCAACCAGTAAAAGGAAAGGGATGTAAGAACCTGCTTTAATGCTATCTTAAGCATATATTCAACTTCTATTCTTATTTTTACCACAAATTTTAGCACAATGGATCGGGATAAAGTGGGAATCCCCACAGATGGTGATTCACATGCAATTACCTATCCTCCTGCAATTGTTGTTTATATAATTGATCCTTTTACATATGAAGATAAAGATGAGAGCACTAACTCTTCTAACGTGTGGACTTTGGGGCTACTCCGATGCTTTCTGGAAATGGTCCAGACTCTCCCTCCTCATATCAAGAGTACTGTTTCTGTACAGGTAAAAGTGAGAAGTGCTTTTCTTATTCACATTGATCAAAATGCCAGGTTCTGTTGATTTTAAATGCTGTTGTGGTAGACATCTTAAAGCAATTATAAAAGACAAACTTTAGTCATACCACAGTGATAATGAGGAATAAAAAAGATTATATTGAGTACATTAAGTGTGTCTTCTGTTACTTTATAAATCAATTTTTAAATAAATAAGCATAGTAAGTGGGAAAAGGTAGTATGGACTTACATAAGCTATAGACTTTGTTTTGGTTTGTTTTTTTTTTTCCAGTTTGACTTCAGTTCTTTGAGACAGGGTCTCACTGTGCAGTCCACACTGGCTTTGAACTCACTGTGTAGCTTAGGCTGGTCTCAAACTCGTGATCCTCCTGCCTCAGCCCTCTTAAGTGCTGACATTACCGTCATGAACCACCATACCCAGCTAGCTATAAGCTAGAGCTTTAATCAAGACAGGTTGTAAGTAGAAGAAAATGAACCATAGTAAATTTTGTAAAGAAAATTTGAACTCTTTATTTTATAAATTACAAGAGAGAGCTACTCCATGGTGGTATTAATATAATTACCATGTAGGAAATTTTAAGTTTTTAGGTGGTCCTTTAGTACAGGGCCCTTTGGTAAAGTTGATGATTTATTAATGAATTGTTAATTAATGTTTTCTTACCATTAGATAATAACCTACTTAGGTTTTATTAAAGTGCACTAGTAAACAGTTTTAAGAGTTTTAGCCCCGCCATATCTTTTATTCTTTGATGGAAGTTTAACATTTGCAATATTTACCTATACTTCTTAGATTGTTCCTTGTCAGTACCTGTTACAACCTGTGAAGCATGAAGATAGACAAATTTATACCCAGCATTTAAAATCCCTGGCTTTTTCGGCTTTTACCCAGTGTCGGAGACCACTTCCAACATCAACCAACGTCAAAACATTGACAGGCTTTGGTCCAGGTTTAGCCATGGAAACTGCTCTTAAAAGCCCTGATGTAAGTATGTTATTAAATGAGTATAACTTTTTTATAAAATTAGGTGCAAAATTTAAAAATTTTGCTTTCATTTTCCAATTATAATTGGGTAAATACTATGTATTTTTTTTTAAAGATTACTTAGTACTATAGTACTTTAATTTTTTGTTTTACAGAGACCAGAGTGTATTCGACTTTATACACCCCCATTTATTCTGGCTCCAGTGAAGGACAAACAGACAGAGTTAGGAGAAACATTTGGAGAAGCTGGACAGAAATACAATGTTCTTTTTGTGGGCTACTGTTTATCACATGATCAAAGGTGGATTCTTGCATCTTGCACAGATCTATATGGAGAACTTTTAGAAACTTGTATCATAAACATCGATGTTCCAAATAGGTACTTACATTTCTCTAAATGTGTGATTGTATCATCCCATTGAAAATTTTAACACAGAAAACAATATGTTTAATTTTTAATGAGTAAAAAACTGAAAGGTTATATTCATTAAGACGTTAAGACTGGGATTGAGGATTTATCTCAGTGACACAGCGCTTGCCAGGAGGTCATGAGTTCGATTCCTGGTACCGGAAAAAAAAACAAAAAAAAAAAACGACATTAAGACTAGGAGTTTAGGATACTTTTCACTTTTTTATAGTGAGTTAATTTTACAATTAACATAATGAAAAGTAATTTTGATGATTAACCTTTTTACACAAAGATTCAGGTTCCAAACTTCTGTGTCATAAAGCTTGAGGAAATTTTTTGAAACGAAGAACTAGAAAGCCCTTCTGCAATTAAAAAAAAAATACATCTATAGAATGTTCAAACTTTTCTTGTGTACCCAGTTAACTGATTTAACTTTCTTTTCTAGAATTTTTGTTTAGCACTCGGGAGGCCAAGACAAGGAGAGGATCATTGGGAGTTTGAGGCCAGCCTGGGCTGCAAAGTGAGCTCAAGGCCAACCTGAACTGGATAGTGGGACCATGTCTCAAAAAGACAAAAAACTAAAAAAAAATTTTTTTTTTTATCTTTTTGAGACAGGGTCTCGCTGTGCAGTTTGGACTGGCCTTGAGCTTACTTTGTAGACCAGGCTGGTCTTGAACTCACAAAGGATCCTCCTGCCTCAGCTTCCTGAATGCTGGGATTACAGGCATGCGCTGCCACACCTGGCTTCTTTCCTAAAATTGTTGACTGAAAATTTTAATCATTTAAATTGTAGTGTATCTTCTGAAAATGATGATCGTTTTAGAATTCTCCTTGGCAGTAATTAGATATAATGATCAGTTACTATGAAAGATATAACTAATAGGTCACATCAGATGATCCTCATGTTACCATGTAAAACATTTCTGATAACATTATTTCAAAACTACTGAACGTTGCTCATGAGCACTTGAAAAGCTGGTCTGTGCAGTGTTTCAGTTCTAAGATTTGTAGTCTATCCTTTATTTTCTTCTTTATTAAATAATGCTTTCTAGCTGGTGGCACATGCCTGTAATCCCAGCATTCAGGAGACTGAGGCAGGTGGATCCTTAGGAGTTCGAGACCAGCCTGGGCTACAAAGTGAGCTCAAGGCCAGCCTGAACTGTGTAGTGAGACCCTGTCTCAAAAAAGACAAATAAATAAAACAATGCTTTTTAAGTTCAAAATTGATTATGTGCAAAAAAATTTAGATTATTAGATCATAGTGGTGCTGGGAAAACAGAAAACTAGAACTTTTTTTTGTTTTTGTTTTTTTGGTGGTGGTGGTCCTGGGGGTTGAATCCAGGCACTTTGCACTAAACTACATCCCCAGTCCTTTTTATTTTTTTTTATTTTTATTTTTTTTTTGGTTTTTCTCCGGTACCAGGAACCGAACTCACGACCTTGCGCTTGCCAGGCAGGCGCTTTGCCGCTGAGCTAAATCCCCAGCCCCCTTTTTATTTTTTGAGATAAGGTCTTGCTAAGTTGCTCACCCTGCCTCAAACTTGGTGGTCCTCCTACCTCCAACATGCTCAGGTTAGGAATATTAATTTTATATTTTTGTTTATTGTCTGTAAGCCTTAGAACAGTGCTTCTTTATTCCCTCAATATAACGTTGATCATTTCTTAGGATATTTGTGCTAATTAAGTAACACTTGAAAAGAATATACTTATGTGTAAAGGAAGAGATGGTAGATAAGAAATAATATCACCCTTTCCATTATAATAAAGGTAATAATGCCATTACCCTACCTTGAGTTCAAAAAAAGTAGGAGTGGAATAAAGGTTAAGAGATACAGTGATTGAATCAGAGAGATCTAAGTTCAAATGCTAAGCCTTCTACTTACCAGTCATGTGTTCTTAGGAAAATTACCCATCTGGAAAAGCTAAAGAATACTTGTTTCTGCCTCATAGGATTATTTGGATAAAATGAAATATTACATGTCAATTGATTAGACATGGTGCTTTGTATATAGTAGGTACCAAATAAATGTTAGCTACTGTTGCTGGGCCACAGAATGCTTGGAGCCTTACCTATTTGCCTATTAAGGGTATGTATATAAAAACCTCAAACAGTCTTGTTTGGTCTGAAATTTTCCAGGCTATTCTTTGACTTAGGGAGCAGAGATTGGTGTATACCACAGCTTGTGGGGCAAATTTGGCCACAACCATCTTTCCTAGTTTTTGTCTACCAGCTGTTTTCATGCTGTAGCAGCAGGTTGAATTCTATTGAGAAAATCTTGATGTCTTGGAAAGGTTAAAGTATTGGCCTTTAAAAAAAAAAAAAGTTTGCTCTTAGGGCTTAGTGGTAAATGCCTGTAATTCCAGCTCTCTGGGAGGCTGAGGCAGGAATATTGTGAGTTTTAGCCTAGAATGGGCAACTTGAGTAAGACCCTGTTTCAAAATAAAAATTTTAAAGTTTGTTGGTGTCAGAATCACTGTTTGTGGTCAGTTAAGGTAGTTTGTGGACAAACTTTTTCTTAAAAATTTTCACATTTAAATGCACATTATAATGTTTATTTGGGAAAAAAAAAAAAAAAGACTTGGTGATGCATCCCTATACCTTAGCTACTTAGGAAGCCAAGGCAGGAAGATTGCTTAAGCCCAGGAGCTCAAAGACAGCCTGAGGAACATAGTGAGACACTCTCTCAAAACAACAAAACAAAAAAACCTTGCATGCCAGACTTTTGATTTCATGTATGTTCTTACTTGAGACTTGTGCAGAGGTGTAAAGCGTTAAAATTAAGTAAGAGACTAGAGCTTGGGGAGTGTGGAACATACTTGCCTAGCATGCACAAAGCCCTCAATCCTCAATACTGTTCCCTCCCATAAAGTTATCCCATGAATGTTAGAAATATTTATGGCTGCCTTTTTATTTCATTCAATAGGGCTCGTCGGAAAAAAGGTTCTGCTAGAAGATTTGGTCTACAGAAACTTTGGGAGTGGTGCTTAGGGCTTGTACAAATGAGTTCATTACCATGGAGAGTTGTAATTGGTCGTCTGGGAAGGATTGGTCATGGAGAATTAAAAGGTAAAATTGTGTTTTATTATTTAGTTTTAAAATTGGTTTTATATTCATATAGTATTCAGACCACGTCAGTGTATATGCTGAGTAAAATGTAAAGGTTATCAGTAAATTTTTTTTTCTTGTGGTGCTGGGGATTGAGCTAGGGCTTCATGCGTGCTTGGCAAGCACTGTAACACAGGCACATTCCAAACCAAAACTTTGGGGTGCAGGGGGGATTGGGGTTGAACCCAGGCTTTTCACACTGAGCTGCATTGCTAGTCATGTTTTTTCACATTTTGAGACAGGGTCTTACCAGTCTCTTAAGATACCCAGGAAAGTTGGACTTCAGCTTGCCACCCTCTTCCCACAGCCTCCCAAGGGCTATTATATAGGCTGTACCAGCTTGCCCAGACGAACTTTTGCTTTTAAAGAGGAACCACATATGTATTGTTCATAGCTATTCTTGTTGTCTTCTACTTTTTCTCCTTTCTACTTGTTCAACTCATCTGCTGTTCAGTAGATGGTAACTGAGTGTGGTATTCACTAAAGTTAGAGGGATAAAGCATATTGAATTAGCATCAACAATAGGATTTTTGACTTGATGACTCCTTTGAAGAAGACACTTCTTTTTTTTATCTTTTTGGGAGAAGGTTTCAGTGTGTAGTTCAGGCTGGCCTCGAACTCACTCTGTAGCCCAAGCTGGCCTTGAACTCAGCCTCCCAAGTGTTGGGATTATGGATGTGCACTACTATGGCTGGCTAGACACTAATCTTTAAATCAATAAATATTTCTTTTATGTTCTAATCTTGGTTCTATACCGTAGTTCAGTGCTTTACTTTGTAATTTAATTGTTGATACCCACAGACTGGAGCTGTTTGCTGAGTCGTCGAAACTTGCAGTCTCTAAGTAAAAGACTCAAAGACATGTGTAGAATGTGTGGTATATCTGCTGCAGACTCTCCCAGCATTCTGAGTGCTTGTTTAGTAGCGATGGAACCTCAAGGCTCTTTTGTTATTATGCCAGGTTAGCTGTCTTCAGTTTATATCGGAATTAATTCATGCACTTAATTTTTTTAAAGTATTACATAAAATTTATTCGTTTGTTTTTACAAAATGTTTCCTATTCTCTTTATAGATTCGGTATCAACAGGTTCTGTATTTGGAAGAAGCACCACTCTAAATATGCAGACATCTCAGCTAAATACCCCACAGGATACGTCATGCACTCATATACTTGTGTTTCCTACTTCTGCTTCTGTACAAGTAGCTTCAGCGACTTACACCACTGAAAATTTAGATTTAGCTTTCAACCCTAACAATGGTAGGTTACTTGCTTTTAAGAGCTTGTTTTGGGGGCCGGGGGTTGTGGTCATTGTTTTTTTTGTTTTTTTTTTTTTAAGATGGAATCTTCCTGTGTTCCCTAAGTTGTTCAATTCTCTGGACTCAAGTAATCTTCCTGCCTCGATTCCCCAAAGTATCTGGGACTATAAGCATGCCCTGCTGTGCACAGCCAAAAAAGGTTTTTGAATACAGTATTGCGCAGAAGAAGAGAAGAGACCATGTGACTGAAGCAGAAGAATGCAAAGTCAGAGGAATATGCTATGACTTTGAAGGCAGGAAGGGGCCATGAGCTGGTGCATATAATTCTAGATACTAGAAAAGACAAGGACCCTTATTCTTCCCTAGATCCTCTAGAGGGAGTGCTGTCCTGCTGGAACTAATTTTTTTTTCCTTTTTTTCAGTCAGATTTTATTGGTACATTTTAGACATACCTAATGATCACATTCATCATAGAGAATTTGTACCTGTACATGAAATAACTTGATTCTTTTTATTCCCATTCCCGTACCCTCCCTTCAACCTCTCCTCCCCTCCCCATTTGCAAAAGTTTTTTTTCCATTTTTTTCCTCCTGTTTTCATTTTTTTAAACTTTTCCCTTCCTCTCCCCACCCTCTTCCCATTTGAAAATTTTCTTTCTACTTCACAATACCTATGATACATTTTAGTCCTTATTTATAGTTTCAGTTTTTCACACCATAGAAACAATTCAGTATTTACACGTGTGTCCGAGTATATTTCACTGAAGAGTATGGACTGAAGGTGCATCCATTTACCCAGAAATGTCTCTCAAGCTTATCCTTCTTTATGGCAGAGTGGCTGCTGGAATTAATTTAAGACTTACTACTCCTGAACTAATAAATGTTTGTTGTCTTACACCAACAAGTGTATGGTAATTTTATTTATTTATTTATTTATTTTCCCTGGTACCAGGAATTGAACTCACAACCTTGCACTTGCCAGGCAGGCACTGTGCCACTGAGCTAAATCCCCAATCCCAAAGATGAAACGAATGCCCACGTATTTCCTAAGGATAAACATTAGGGTTTTTTTTGTTTTTTTTTTTTTTGTCTTTTTGTTGTTGTTGTTGTTTTTCCGGTACCGGGAATCGAACTCACGACCTTGCGCTTGCCAGGCAGGTGCTATGCGGCTGAGCTAAATCCCCAGCCCCAAGTGTATGGTGATTTAAATTAAGTCACATCACACTAGCTTATATATAAGCTATATATATCTAGCTTATGTATATATCAGAACTAAGGGAATAATTGATCATAAAGTGTTTATAGATGTTTATACTTTGGCTTTTGAGTTACCTGTACTAAACTTTATTACTCATTTTATATCTTTATATGTCACACATTATTTTAGTTTCTTGTTATAATTTGAATATTTTACTTAATGAAGAGTGGGGTATTAATTGTGAACAGTCTTATTTTAAGTACATTGTCATTTCCTATCTACTGTATTTATTTGTATTTGTAATTTACTATAACAAACAATGGTTTAAAAGATCATCTTTGTTTTCTTAAAGTTCTGAAAGTGTCAAAAATCAGCTTCATTGGGTTAAAAGTCAAGGTGTCAGTAGGATTCTTTAAAAAAAAAAAAAGACTCTTGTGATTACAGGGTTGACTTGCTTAATCTAGAATAATTTCCCCATCTGAAGATTGCTAGCTTGATCACATCTACAAAATCCTTTATGGTAACATGTCCGGGATTGGAACATGGACATCTTTTGGGAGCCATTATTCATACTGTGTGTCTGCTTATACCTTATTGATACGGCTGTTAGTACAGTACTTGGCACGTGATAGTACTTGCTTCAGCAGCACATGTAATGCTTGGCACGTGATAGATACTCAGGAAATGTTGATTAAATTAACCTATTTTGGTTAACGTTTGTTTTAACCTTCTATTGTGAGTGATCATGGGATATGGAAAATCAAGTTTTTAATTTCTTTCTCCTGTATAGATGGAGCAGATGGAATGGGTATCTTTGATTTACTAGACACACCAGATGATCTTGATCCTGATATCATTAATATCCTTCCTGCATCTCCATCTGCATCTCCTGTACATTCTCCAGGATCTCATTACCCCCATGGAGGTGATACTGGCAAGGTAATCCTCTTACAGAAGTTCAGTTTATCTAAATGTTATTCATTCCTATAGTAAGGGATAAATGCAACATTATTTTTTCCTTGCAGATGAGATTAGCAGTATATTCATACGCTTCTGTCCCATACACATGAATACATTGATGTCTACATTTGGTAGAGTTTCTAATGCTGTGCTTTCCCTGAATCTGTATTTTTCTAAACTACTTGGCATTAGCCACTTCACCATAGCTACAGTTAAAATATAACAGCACCATTGAAAATCAGTATCTGGGGCTGGGGATTTAGCTCAGCGGCAAAGCGCCTGCCTGGCAAGCGCAAGGTCGTGAGTTCGGTTACTGGAGAAAAACCAAAAAAAAAAAAAGAAAATCAGTATCTGGCTAAAAGAGCTATCATGCATATCAGGGCTATGACAAGAAACATAATAGAAATACTAATTTTCTCATAAGAACAGGTAAAGAAACAACCACCATCCATCGTCCACCACCATCTTGCTCTTCCTTTATTTTTAGCAGTTATAAAAGTAGGCTGTATTACACTTTTGTTTGAAGTCAGAGTAGATGAGCTTCATTGACTGTTAATAATAGTTTATGAAATTGTGCTGGTTGATTGTTTTAGTATGCTTATGTTTAGAATTTACCTTTTTAAAGTAGGGAAGAATCTGTCTAGCTTTACCTTGTATACTTTTTCTTAGATGTAAGAAATGCAATAATTGAAAAAAAAAAAGAAATGCAATAATTGAAATGCTTACACACATGCATGAAACATCAATAATCCTACCACCGTAAAAGTTTTTACTTTTTAGGAAATTACTTTCCTTCCATATATATTTATTTTCAGCTTTCAATAAGTATAGTCAGGGGCTGGGGATTTAACTCAGCGGCACAGCGCCTTCCTGGCAAGCTCAACGTCGTGAGTTCAATTCCCAGTACCTGAAAAAAAAAACAAAAAAAAAAAGTATAGTAAGCCAGGTAATTCCAGCACTTGGGAGGCTGAGGCAGGAGGATCGTTGTGAGTTCGAGACCAGCCTGGGCTACAAAGTGAGCTCAAGGCCACCCTGAACTACAAGACCCTGTCTCAAAAAGACACACACACACACACACACACACACACACACACACAAAGTATAATTGACTTCTTAATATGACATTGTTGATATGCCATCACTTGCTGTATCATTTCCAAAAGGTTGGACACATAGAGATTTTTTTTTTCTTTCTATTATATAAGTACTGATGTGTTGAGTATTTTCATGCATTTTCTTTTTCTTCTGTTTCATTAAAATACCAAAAAATACACATGTTAGCATGATGCTTTCCAAAACACTACAGATTAACTACATTTATATTATTGGTAGATAAATAAAGCTAAATTGACACGGCCTTTTGGATTGGAGTGTGATTGTCAGGACTTAGTTGAGACACTATTAGGAAATAAGTTAGAACTTTCATTGAACATTTTGTATTTTTCACTTAAAAGTTGAATGATTGCATATACACATCCATTAAGGGCTTGGCATAACAATACTAACTTGCTGAATAGCGGGCATATTCATTTATGCAACTTTTTTTTTTTTTTTTTTTGGTACTGGGAATCGAACTCTGGACCTTGTGCTTGCCAGGCAGGTGCTTATATCAGTGAGCTATATCCCTGGCCCATTTATGCAACTTCTATAGCTTTGCTTTTTTTGTTTTTTGAGGCAGGGTCTTTTTTTTTGTTTGTTTGTTTGTTTTTTGGTTTTTCTCCGGTACCGGGAACCGAACTCATGACCTTGCGCTTGCCAGGCAGGCGCTTTGCCGCTGAGCTAAATCCCCAGCC